TATAAGGATATAATATTTTGGTTATAAAAAATAAAAATAATTAATAAAAATAATTTAATAACATTTATTTATATATTTTAAATATATTTTTATTATATAATAAATTTTTTTATATAATTTTTTTTTAAAAAATAAAGATTTAACTTTTATATAATAAATATTTTCAATTAATTATAATTATATAATTATAAAATTATAAATATTATAAATAAAATAATAAAGACCTGTGGGTCTATAATGTAGTGGTTAACACTCCACAGGTCAAATCACAAGATACCAGTTCAACCCCATGTGAAGACAGTTGAATAGAATTAATATAGTATCTGGCACCATAACCTGTTAAGCACGTTTCTTATAAAAAGCCGTTTCACACGCTAATTCAGCAGACGTTGAGATTGTGATTTTCTAGAAAAGGTGCTATGGTATGATGATCATCCAGTTGGTATTATAATGATTATTGTTTAGTTTGGTGCAATTTCTGATTCCACAATAGGTCATTTCCCTTTTCTATAGTTTATGGAACTATAAAAGAAATATAATATAGGGGCCACAAAACTGGAAAACTGTTCAGCAAAACTTTCAACATACCTCCCCTTCAGTATAAGTGACAACTCGCCAGCAATACTTACTATTCTTATCTGTAGTGAAGATACTTAGTTGGTAACGATTGTCAGAATGGAAGATTCCTCTTAAGACTTAGTCTAACTTTGGAGGAGTTGCGCCCTCTTAAATAAGCAGTCTATACTTGAAGCCCGGTATTATCTAAAAAGGATTGGATTGTCAACCTCGTGTTTAAAGGTATTGAAACAAACTCTAACCAATAGGTTTCATTCGCTTTTCCAAATGGTGACAATTTGGGTTTACAGTCTTAAATAAGATGAATTACTAGAAGGAGATAGAGACACAGTACTCCGATAGATAATTCGATTGATAGTTGGATCTTACTGGAAAGTTTACAAATTTGAGGCTGGAAGATGTAGAAAATAATTAGTTTAAATAGTTCTTATAGATAAGCTGTACCTGGATAGTATACTTGTAAGTAAATTTTAATTGTAACAATTTAAGTATAAATAGAAATATATGTAATGTATATTATTCGCAACAAATTTAATAAATTAGAGTAAAGCCTACTTGCATTAAAAAAAAAAAAATTAATTATACTTATTATATTTTTTTTATATTTTTATTATTATATTTTTTTATATTAATAATATATATCTTTTTTATTTTTTTAAATTAATCTTAATAAATTTTATGTTTATATCTTTTGTTTTTATTTTTAAAATATTATTTTTTTTATTTTAAATATTAAAAGTTTATTTTAAAAAAGTAAACCTTTTGAACTTATAATAAATATTGTTAATAAATATTTTATTTTTTGTTATTAAAAGATTAAATCTTTAATAATAATAATAATATTTTTCAAGTATTTTCAATAATATTTTTATTAATAAATCTTATATTATTTTAATTAATTATAATTCATATTTTTAAAACTTTGTTATTAGTAAATTTTCAATTTTTAATTATCTTAAATTTAAATTTAAAGTTTGTTTCTGTTTATATTTTTATTAAATTCTTTATTGATTTTTATTACAATAAATATATTATATTTACTAGTGACTTTAATTTTTATATTTTTTTATATTAATATATATATATATTATTTAAGAAATTAATTTATAAATATTATTATAATCTTATATATTATAATAAGCAAATTGTAAATCTATTACTTCAATAGAAATTTATATAATCATTACAGTGTTTTTAAGATAATAAATAAATAATTTAATATATATGACTTGATCAAGTTTTTTATATTTCTTATATTACTTCTCTTTATTAATAATATTGTTTTACTTATTTATATATTTTTTTAAATATTTAAATGTGGTTTTTTAAAAAAAAAAAGATTAAAATCTATAAAACATTTTAAGGCTTAAAGATAAATTATTCACATTATATCTTTTTATTGTTTATTATTAATTAATCATTATTATTACAGGTTTATATTTTGTAATACTCTAGTTAAAATTGGTTATATGACTCTTATTATATTTTGGACTATTTGATTTTATCTTTTATAATATATAATTAAAGTTACTAAAAAAAAAATCTATATATCTATATTATTATTATAAGAACTTATATATATATTAATTAAATATAAATAAACCAAAAATTTTATTAGCAAAAACTTTTTTTATGTTTACTTGCAACTAATAAAATTATTAAAAAAGAAAATAAAAAAATTTTTGACAAAAAAAATTACAAAGAATTTTGAAAAGTCTTTTTCATTTTTCAAAAATTAAATTACTGAGCCAATCTATACTCTACTTAATATTTTTATTACTAATATTAATAAATATTTTATTATAATTATTTACAAAAACAACAGTACTAATATAATTTATATGATTAACTCTATAATCTATATTCATCTTTCAAAATTTGAAAACCTTTCAAAATTATAGTTAATATTAGTTCATTTACAAGAAGATAATTATGAGAATTTCAAAATAATCTGTCTTCTTTGAAGTATACAAAAAAAGGCTTAAAAATTACTATATTAAAGTTAAAGTTATCATATTAAACCTAATATCCTTGGAAAAAATAAATAACTTTTTTGACTATCAATATATTTTTTGCTTATCTGATAAAAAAAAAATTGGTATTATAAAAGGGTTTCTCAAATTGAATCTTAACTATAATCTCTATATCGTTTAAATTAAAATCAATATTAATATTAACAAAAAGGTCAAAACTTTTCCCTTGAAGCAAAAAATCAAAATCTCATATCCTCTTTAAATACTTCTGCCCTAACTGAAAAAAGAATTAATAACAATAGTATACAACTTAGTTGTGATGATAAAACAATATAAAAACTTATTCTTAAGTATATAGCAATTACTTCAATCCTCTTGTAACTATTCTTAAGTACAATAATATTTAGTTTATCCTTCATATATTCATATTTAATAATCTTATAGCACAGGATATTATATAAAATCATATTATATTTATTTATTTCTTTATATAAGAATCAGTACAACTAATTATCACAAATATGGAAATTAATAAGCACTTTCTTCAAGTTAATTAGTGAAAACTTCAAAATTTCTTCCTACTTCTTGGGCAGACAAAATTAACAAAGTGCTAAAAGCTATTCAATTCTATAATACTATTAACTTTCTTAACATTAGAAGTATTATTCAATTTAATAAACAAGAAAAAATTTTGAAACTATATAAAGGACTTACAGTAATAACTATAACAGAACTGCAAAACTAATTGTCAATTTTTTCTTAAAAATTAAAAATAAATTAACAGGTACTTTACAAACTTTTCTTAAAGACATATTTTTCAAAATTAAATATAGAAACTATAAATTTTTTAAAACATTTTTCAGAGATGAATTAATCAAGAGACAATATTAAAAAGAATATAAAAAATTCAAAAAACAATTACACACTAAGGCTTCTAATGATATTATTTTGATACTACTTTAATATCACTTTGATACTTAAATTTATTATAAAATCATATACTGTATATTGGTCACAACTCATATATTAAATTTATTATATATTGGTACTATTTCAATATTAGTTTAATATTAGTTCAGTACTTTTTGGAGTCCTATTTCACATCAACTATTATCAAAATAACAATCTGGATTACATTACTAGAACCACAAGAAAAAATTAATAGAATAATTAATAAAACACTTTTCATTACTTATTTTATATTAATTAATCTAAATATTGACAGATAGTCCAGCTATTGGAGTATAGCTTTAACTTTTTTTTTGATCTCTCTGCCCAAAAAATAATTACTAGAAAATATACAAATTATGTAAAAAACATATTTAGAAAGATATACCAGTGTTATCAGAAGACCTCAAGAACATTTTAATTTTAATCAAAATCAAACTTTCCAAAACAATTTCAATGTATTAAGCAAAGACAAGCAAAATTGCTGGTAGCCTTAGGACTTTCTATAACTTTGTTATTTTATTCTTTTTATGTTTATTACGTTTAAATTTGTTGGGATACTTTTTAATTATATTTTTTAAATATTTATTACAATTACATTGTAATATAATAAATATGTTCTGTATATATATAAGATTTTTCTTAGTGATTTATATTAATGCACAACAAAAATGTTCTCAATGACACTGTATGTATGGATACTTTTTTTAAATAAAAAGAATAAAAATTTCATAATTAAAAAAATTGAAAACATCTGTAAACATATTTCATTAAAGCAAAACCATATGATATTTACTAAAAACATTGAATGCTAACTAAATATTTATGACATTATATATTTATTTGTTGTTATTATAACTTTTCATTATTTTTATACTGTATATTCAATGTAATTCATTTTTGTACTATATATATATTTTTACATTGAATTTTTATGATCATATAAAAGTCAATATCTTATTAATGAAATCTTTTACAAATGGTCAATTTCTATTTTTAATGATAATTAGAATCTGTGAATTTCAAAAAAAATCAATAGGCTTGAATACGGTAAATATCGAAGTCCAGTGAGTAAATTCAAATTAATTGCTGGATAAATATAAAGAACGCATTATGTGTTTCAGAAGCGAGGCTGTTATATAATTATTTCGTAATTAAAAACATAGTATTGTAATTTGAATACTTTAATACGGCACAGTAATTGGTATGACTTATTTCTGGACAGTGATTAAAATTAAACATGTACTATATTTTCAAATAACTGTTTATCCTCTGAACTTAATATATGTTCATTAGAACAATGTATGTTCCTTTCACTGGTTTGAATGAATTAAATTACAAATTCACTGTTTTTAGTTATGCACAGCATTTCATACTAAAAAATTGATCTAATAAATGACCTGGATATTTATTATTTATCGGCTTTTATTATAAAAAAAATGAATATCTAAATATAAAAAAATGTATCAAAATTTTTCTCAAAATAAACCGTATAATTTAATTTCAAGGACATATAAGTGAAATTTTGTTATGTTGAGTTTTTTCAGCTAATTCTTCCCCACAGATAATCCATAGTAAATCCTCGACAGCCTCCAATCGTTGTTTAACCATGCCAGAAAATTGGTAATTCTGGTAAATTGAATTTCGAATATCTTTAAGCATTTCGGTTGCCTTTATGATTTCGTCAACACCAGTGTCTAATATATTAATAATCGCGATATTAAGCTTTGCAACATTACGCATTTCTTCCAACCTCGATTGAAATGGCATCTCCTCTCCATTATTAATGTAATCTTGAACTATACCACTATAATCTTTATTGGAAAAAAAATCCATGATGGTAAATATAAACTTTTTGTTTATGATAGATGAATATTCATTTTGAAAGGCACGAGCACGTTTGTCCAATTTTTTAGCTTCTGCCAAAAGTTCATCGTTCAGCACTCCGTAGAAAACACTTTCAGCCATCATTCTTAGTTTTTTAGGTGTTATGCCAATGATTCTTATTCTTCCACTCCCAATGACCACGCCGAGTAAGTTCAACAGATAAGCAATTCCATCCGACCGAAATCCATGTCTTATAAGTAACTTTATTATCTCCTTGGGATTAATAGTATCCTCGGGTTTCTCTAATTTTAACAGACTCGTATCTTCTTCATATTCTTCGGAGAGCGCTTCATAAAATTTTTGGTATTCATCCTTGTCATAAGCTTCTATTGCTTTGGTCAATATTCTATTAAGATTTTTACGAGCTTCCGGTTCGTTTAAAAGAATGTTACCTTCTTTCCATAAGTGAGTAATACTGCACATTCCTAATCCAAATGCAATAACTCCAATTGGACCAAAAACTGCACTAGCCATGATTGTACAAAACGCGTTAGCAACAGATCCTACTATATACGCCGTTCCCTTTACGCGATGCCTGTAGGTATATATCTTGGCGCGCATAATTTCTTTCTCGGACGTGTAGTAACGAACTAAGCTCTGATCAGGTATTACTAGATCCCAACTCAATTTGCTCATATCCTCTTCAATAGAACGTCGATATGTCTTCTTTTCAAAAATGGGGATTATCTGACCTTCCGCATTCACACAAGATAGTTCACTATTGAGATCACCTTCTGACTTAACTTCAGTATTTTCTTTAGTTGCGTTCCCACCTTTGACCTTATTGAATATTTTTTCTGCCGTAATTAAATCCTGGGACGTCACATCCTGAGAATTTTTAAGCAGTAATTGAATTGCAGATAATGCATATAACTGGGCTTCTATGTATTTTTTAGTAACAAATAAGCATAATGCCATGCTTCCCCGCAATTCTACTTGCTTTTTTAGATACTTAGAATTATCTGCAATTTTACAGGCTGCCCGGTATTCATAATAAGCCAATTCCCCGTGACCAATGCTAAAATGCTCTAGCTCTGCGGATGAAGAGCCTTTAACATCATCGGTATCTAGTATTTTAAGCTTATTCCATTGTCCTTTGGCTGCATTACGATAATCTATTGAAATTTTCCAAAGCATATTTGCTTTTTTTTCATGGAAAGTTAGAAAGCCTTCAGCTCTAGAAACTTCTTCTAATTCCATTAATAAAGTTTCCTTGAACTTTACGGCAACTTCAAATAACTTAGCGCCTAACTCTTTGTGTTTGTCATCAAGCCAATATGGAGTATTAGGTTGATTCGTTTTATCAGGATGAAAATACAGGGAAAGTTCTCTAAAACGTTTGTAAATTTCTTCTTTCGTAAACAGAATATTGCTAAATAAGATAGCTTCTTTATCAGGGGAATTTAATATTTGTTGCATAAAACCGATTCTCTTTAGGTAGGCTGCTCCTCTGGATAATTCTCTTAAAACATTCAAAGAGGTCAGCAAATTTTTTCTAATCTGCTCAATTTTTTCCTTGTCGCTGGGGCTTACTTGCTCAAGATTGAACAGTTCTTCGCTAATAGGATTATCCGCTAGCTTACGCAAATTTATATCTAGATCAATAACATTTTGAAAATCCAGGAAGGACTTTGGCGTATCGTTAAAAAGTTTGTTAAAGTTCTGTCGGAATAGTTCAACTACTTCATCCCTCAAGATACTTTGGATCTTTTCTAATTCTTCTTCTACAGCTTCTCGGGCACACTTTTCATCAGGATAAGAAGTTTTTTCGTTATCTTCTAAAGCGACATTTGTGAATAATAGAAAGTCCGTTCTATAATTATACGTTTCTCTGGAGGGTTCGTTAAACTTTTCATATTTTTTTGCTAGATTCTCATGCCTGCTAGCATTTTCTACATCACCTCGCTTCTTTATATAGTCAGCATATCTTGTGTGGTATTTATACCTGAATAGGCCGTGCTGTTTTTCGTTAATTCCCTCTAATTCATCAATCAATTCTTTTCCTTCTCTAAATTTTTTATCAACTTCTGAATCATTAGGTTGACCTCCGATTAGAAATTCCAACTCCAAAAAAAAATCGTTGATTTTTGAAATGTTTCTTTCCATTATAAGCAAGCACTATGCTATGTTTTAGCACGAAGTATTTTTTTTGCGATGTGGAGCTCTGATACTGAACAAGCCAAAACGTTACGATGCTTTTCTTTTCAAACTATTTATTGTATTGATTATAAGAGCAACATGCTTATGTACATATAAGGTCGCACTGTGATAATAGTATCTAACAAATATATCATATTGTGGTATGAAAAGTATGTACTTTAGTTAGACCATATGTTGTATTTTTGGATTTATCTGCTTAGCTATTAAACTCTGACAGATTATTTCTGTTTTATCGAGTCTGAACCATTGTTAATGAAACACCAAGTTTTCTACTAACTTAGTTAAGGACTGAGCTAACATATTTATTCTCTTTTTATATATCAACGTTACTTTTTTGCTTGATACTACTGTATTATAAATAAGGTTTACAATATTCTATGGTAAAGTCTAAAAAATGTATGGTGTTCGAAAAACTTTATCCACATAGTACTACTTTATATCGTGAATATAGTAACAAGATGCTGTAATGGTTAGATAACACGAGGGCAAGAAAAATAAAAGATAAGATCAGTAGTTAAAATTATAAGTTACTTTATATTCTGTAAAGTTCCATTGACCTTGCCGTTTTATTTTGTTCTTTATTATTTTCTTAATAATTGCATTAGTGCAAAAAAATTATACAAACAAAAGAGTATAGCGGAAAGTTAATAAGGAATAAAGAACTTTGGTAAAGTCAAACACGCATATAATAAGTAATGTTGTGAAACTCTTGTGATGTCTACGTTCTAAATAGTCGATTTATCTTTATAATAGTCTAATTACATGCCTGTTTTATGCTTCGAAGTATTATATAACCGTGTGTAATTTGATAAAAAAAAGCCTTTTGTAAAAGAGAACAAGAAGTGTGGGAATTCTGTCAAACATAAATTAGAAAAGGCTTACCTTATCTACACGAGTGATCGTTCAAGGAACACATAAAAATAATAGATTTTCAAAATTTAAATTGATCAAAACTGCGTCTTTATACTGTATTGACTAATAGGTTTTCTAAATTAGAGTAGTATGTGTTGTATCCAAGTATAGAATAAACGATTTTTTAAGAATAAGGTGGTTACATATTTTACATATTGCTTATTTATCATTTCCGTGAAAAACAAAGTATATTGGCTACAACATATAATTTTGATCGCCGATCGGATAACGTACGAGTGTTAATATTGAGGCTTAAGTTTCAATATCCTTTTTCTATCTTCAGTAAAAAAAAAACAGGTGAACTATTAAAAGGAATACCCATAGTAAATCATAACTTTTATTGAACCAGCAAAATAAATGTCTTTATTATGATACAGTAGCATGTTTTTTATTTTAAAATTTTATTTTTAAACGAAAGAATTTTACGTATATGGAAATAAAAATCAACGTATCATTGAATGATTTAAAAAAATTAAATACAGTAAAATAGAATTTTTATCCGTATTTACTTTCGAAGATTTTTAAGAATAAATAAATGTTTTATTTGATTTATCAAAAATCCAAATCGTGGCAAATTCATAGATTTTTTTGTTAAATCAAATATTTTTAAATACGGTATATTTGATTATTACAAGACATAATCAGTGTTAAAATTTTTTTATATCTTATACAAAAGTCAGTAAAATCATAATTCATCTTAAAGTCAAAGCCTTATCTTATTTCGTGTTGAAATCCAAACATTCAAATTATTATCATATAAAGAGTGAGTTGTTTTAGTACCAGACTTACTAATAACAACAACAATAGAATAAAATTTTAAAAATATATAATAAATCGAGATAAATATAAAAAGACTATCAAGTTTAGAATTAATGTTTTCTTAAAATCGAAAGTAAACTAATAAAACCACTTAAGAAATCTCTTAAAAGCATTTTTCAAAAATTAATTATAAAAATTAAAACTTTTTTAAAACCTTTATAAAAAAGAAGTTGATTAAGAATCAATATTAATAGAATTACAGTACAATAAATTAAAAAAAATTATTTCCTATACTCAACTCTTTTCTTAAAAATTTCTTTTTTATATTTTCTTTAAAATTAAAGAAGCAAATATTTTTTTTACCTTTTAATATTCAAAAATTCTTCATACTTTCTCTTTATTCACTATAAAAATCTCAAATAAACCAAAAAAGTATATGGATGCATCAGGATGGAACCTTTAATCAAAAGCAAGCAAGTTTGAAGTTCTTGCTTTTTTTTGGATTACATTAAGAAAGGCCTGTAACAATTACTTTTTTAGAAATCATCCTTGGAGTTTTTCTTATTTTCTCTTCTTTCTAATATATAAATTTTTTTAAATAATTATATTTTCTGTTTAAAGAACTTTTTTTTAACTCAAAAATCAAACTTTATATCAAAATTGTCTATATCATTAACTTGGAACATCAACAATATATTCAATGTTTATTTCTTACTATTATTTAACATTGTATTTTGTTACATTACCAAAAATTTTTATTTAAAAATTTTCTTATTAAAAAACCATAATTAGTTTACTTGGCCCAGCTTGTATTAAAATAATAGTAATAATAATTAATTTATTTCTGTTAACTGATTAACATTCCAAACTTAACTAATTATATATTGTCATATATCATTTCTACCTCAGGAGAAAGATAAAGACAGAGAACTAGTAGCAGGAAGACACTTTAGATGGACAAGATCAATGTAATATGCCAAAGTTTCTAGAGAATACAAATTAGTACAATTCTGAGATATATGAGGTCAGGTGAAAAAGGCAATAATGATTTGTTTTGTAAAGGTCAAGATATTTATTCAATGAAATATATGTTCAAGCTTGCTAATTCCTAGGCAAAATTGAAGCCTTTATATGCATGTTTTAGTTACAATATTTTTGTACATGTTAAATATATGTTATAAGAAATAATAGAGATATAAAAGAAGTGTTATATTTGTTAGAACAGTTATCTGTATATATTAGTATAAAAACAAATGCTCTGGCGAAGATACAAAATAAAGATAATTAAATAAAATAGGAAATATTTTAGAACAACAATAGTATGAAAAGTACAATATTAAACAATAACAAGAATAGTAATACAAGAATTATTCTAGAATGGATAACATTTCAAGAGTAAATGCTAGTGAAAATTGAACAAGAGATAGTGATGATCTTGAGCAAAAATCAATTATAACAATATTACTAAATATCAAAATAATTTATATAACTAAAATACTATACAATAATTAATTTAAACAAAATTTATTTTGACAGTAACTATTAAAATAAGATCATACTACTAACAAACAAACAAATTACTATATTAATAAGAATATTAGCAATTATAACAATAAAATTTAATCTAAGCAATATGTTAATAATATTATTATTTACTTTAAACAGTAGTTTGATTATTCCTGAAAATAGTATCCTATTTTAATTAAATGGACCAATCAGTATAATGTGCTAATTCAAGATATTTTTTATATTACAATTAGTCTTTTTTATATTTACTAAATATTCAAATACAAACAACAATATTATCATTACTATTGACAATTATTCAAGAAACAGATATCAAAAACATATGTTATCAATATTGTTATATATTGTGAAATATGGTTTAATTATTTTAAAAAAGACTATATACTTTAGAAAAGTGAAATTAAAGTCTTATTAGATATCATTTATATTATAATTGGTTTTATTATTATTATTTTTGTCTAACATTTTCTTTATTTATTTTAAATAAAACCTTTTTTGATATGGATAATAAAATATAAATAATATGAGTTGTTATTATAGTTGTTATTATTGTTATAATTGTAAATTAATTTGAACTGGTTTAATTGTTTAATTTTAATAATATAATGATTTTTAGTTGAACAGTTATCAAGTGTTAATCAATTGAAGAAGGTAAACCAATTAAAACAAATATAAGACTTTACAACTTTGTTTAAATATATTTTTTGAAAAGTGTTTATAAATTTAGTAAGTATAATAATAATGGAAATAGTTTTTATAATATTAAAAAAGTATATATTGCAAAAGAACAAAATAATAAAAATATATTGTCATAGGTCTTTTCTTATACAACTTAAGAATAAACAAAACTCCTAAACTTAAATAAACTAGTAATTCTAATTCTATCTTATTGCACTAGTTGTCTTTAGTATTTTTGAGTTTCTAAGTTGAAGCTTACACTAGTTGAAATCCGATTATTCAGCAGTATGCCACTTGTTAATTATTCAGCATATGATAAATAATTCGTCAAGCATTTGTTAACAATTCGGCAATCATTATCAAATTGAATATGTTGAATTATTGATGAATGCTTAATGAATTATTTACCATATACTGAATAATTGATGAGTGGCATATTGCCAAATAATCAGATTTCAACTAGTGTTGCAATAAAAAATAAAAAATATTTTCTTTATTCAAAATAATTATAAAAAGAAATTTTTTAAAAAAACAATTATGATTAAAAGAAAGTTTTTTGTTATATATAAATAGTTTTTTTATTATAATATTTTAATAGTTGAAACTATATTTTTATAAATAAAAATGTAACTGTATATATAGTATATTGTAACCATATAAAAAAATTGTATAAAAGATTAATTATGTACTCTATTTAATATTTTTTTGGAAAAAAAAAGAAATTCTTCATAGGTAAATATTGTTAACATTAAAATGGTGAGTCTGTCACTTGTGGCAGGTCAAACTTACATAACATAGGGTAGGTTATTTTTCTTTTCTCTATTTGAGGTGTGAATTTGACTTAGCTGATCTTAACCTATCACTCACTTATTCTCTTTTTCCTCTTGTTGTTCTCCTTTGATAGTTTAAGTCACAAATCTCATTAGTGACTTCCAGAACAATTCTCTTATAGCAAAGTTATTTTAGAAGGTAAGTTAATTAGTAACTTTCTTTTTAGGCGCATCTATTATATCATCACTTATAGTAACTTTTAATTAACACTTACATGACTATTTTATATTTTTACAAGA